TTGAGTTGGAGAAGTCAAGTTACAGGTGGTTGTTTTTAAGTTTGGAAAATAGTGATGTTACAGAAGTTGTTATTGAGTTTGGAAAATTTCTATATGATGTATGTGGAGTGTTTGGATGGTTTATTTAGATATAACTTGCAAGGTGTGAGAGGTTCAAAGGGTTTTGACTTCAAAGCTCAAAGATGGAGGTTTTTGTGGACAATTCTGGTTTTTAGAGTAAAAGGGGGTTTGAGTATTTTTCAACACACAAGAAGCTCTCTATTTTTATTACCTCATTATTTTGCAAATTCTCCCTCTATTTATAAGAAAGAGGTTTGGGAACAAGAGCTAATTAGGTTTGTAAGACAACATGTTATGGTTTTGTTGGGATGAAAATATCAAACTATGTCAAGTATTCCATGGTCCCAAGATGAAGTACCAAAGTTGTTGGTATAAAGGAGCTACCTTCTATGATTTATGGTGGAGTATAATCAGAAGCAAACAAGGTATGGGCTCAAGATAAATTTTGTACCAAAAGCTTGCTTTTTCAAGAATAGCAACGGTGCCTTTATGCCATAAATGGAAAGATATTTTGGACAATGGCTCAAACACTTGGGTAACAGATCAAGAGTAGGTGTAACCATTAAATTATGGTGAGATTGGGAAGTTAGAATGCCTTCAACACAAGATTATGCAGCATATCATAAGGATTTTGCTATGTGTTCTTCAACAAAAGGACTTGCAATTCAAGGATGAATGCCCAACTTCATGCCCTTGAATCTCCTAGCTCAAATATGATAAATTTATGCGATTGGTTGTTTTGGAAAGCTTGAAACCTTCTCTATAACTTTCATGTTGGATATTGTGACAAAATCATCTTGGAACTTATATCATAAGGATTTTGTTATGTGTTCTTCAACAAAAGGACTTGCAATTCAAGGATGGATGCCCAATTTCATGCCCTTGAATCTCCTAGTTCAAGTATGATAAATTCATGCTCTCAGATGTTTTGGAAAGCTTGAAACCTCCTCTATAACTTTAATGTTTGAGATTTTGACAAAATCATATTGGAACTATATGAAAAAATGCCAAGAAGTTGGGATAAAATCCTTACCAAAATCTGTTGAAAATTTCTCTAAGTGCTAGATGAAAATGTCATGACTTCTGGGCTTATATCTTAAAATCTAAGCGTGTTTTGGACATAAACCCTCTAATAAAAAGTTGTAGAATTCATCAAGATATACAACTTTAATGTTGAAAGTTTCCTTTGAATCATTTTGCATCATGGTGAAAAATTGGTATGAAGTTATGAAATAAACATGTAAAAAACACTTAGAAAAATTTCTAAGTCTTGAAAAGTTTTGACTTTTCAAATTGACTTTTGAATTTCTTGAATTATTGATGATCAGGCTTGATATTATTGAATGTATTGAAGAATTTTGATCTTCGAAACTTAATGTTGACCAAAAAGTCAAAGTTTAACTTTTAAGTGTACAATTGACTTTTTCATCAGTTGACCAAGTTTCATCTATCAATCCACTGATCTTGAGAAATGTTTTGAGCCACAAAATTAGGTAAAGGTGATGCCCTTGAATCCTTTATATCATGTTTCAAACCAATAAGTCGTGTATTAAATCAAAAGTCAAGAATCAGTCATTCTTAGTCAAAACCCTAATTTTGACCATTTTGCCCTTTTGATGAATTGAAAATATTTCTTGAGGAATTGTGATCCAAATATGATCAATTGATGCGTATGACTTCAAAATGTTGACATTGGTCAAGAATATTGAAGTTTGGCTGTAAGTTGACCACAATTGCCTTTTTACCCAATATATCTGATTTTAGTCATCTGAGCAATTGACTGAGTAAACTTGTGATCCAAGACTTGAAACTTTACATGAGTAATCTTGGAGGTCCATTATGATCCATGAAACTCATTTGAGGCATTAAAAGTTAAATTGTCCTTGTGTAAATCAAAACTCTAATTTGAGGCATCAGTGTTGAGGAGATGGCTTGGTCTAGTTAACACTTGTGCAAGCTTGAGCTATTGAAGATCTTGTGAGAAATATCTTGAGAAAAGAGATGGAAAATTTTGAGGTACAACAGCTTCCCGTGTTCAATCTTCTTAAACTTGAAGAGTTAGACTGGCGTCTCAACCATTTGTGACTTGTAGGTAGAAGATGATTGAACACTAGAGTGTCCAGAAATTTGCACTCGCTGGTGTAGAAAGTAATGTTGTTGGTTGACTGTGTCGGGAATAGGCTTAAAGATGCCATCTAAAGTGACTGCTGGTAAGTATAAATCTTGACTGTGACTATTATTTTAACCTATATTGGAAGGAATCTTGTGGTGACTACTACTTCAATAGGTAATGAAGGAATCTTGACGACTATTACTTCAACAGGTAATGAAGGAATCTTGATGACTATTACTTCAACAGGTAGTGAAGGAATCTGGCGAATACTACTTCAACAGGTAATGAAGGAATCTGATGACTACTACTTCAACCGATAATGAAGGAATCTCTGATGACTACTACTTCAACAGGTAATGAAGGAATCTTTGACGACTACTACTTCAACAAGTAATGAAGGAATCTGACGACTACTACTTCAACAAGTAATGAAGGAATCTTTGATGACTACTACTTCAACAGATAATTAAGGAATCTCTAACGACTACTACTTCAACAAGTAATGAAGGAATCTTTAACGACTACTACTTCAACAAGTAATGAAGGAATCTGACGATTACTAGTTTAACAGGTAATGAAGGAATCTCTGATGACTACTACTTCAACAAATAATGAAGGAATCTCTAACGACTACTACTTCAACAGATAATTAAGGAATCTCTGACGACTACTACTTCAATAGGTAATGAAGGAATCTGATGACAACTACTTCAACAGGTACCACGAGGAACCCAAGCTTTATTTTATCTTGGAGAGATATTCTTTAGAATGACTCCCTGGGATAAAACTTCGATGGAAATATTTTTCAGACTTTAGCATTTGGAGAAATTCGTAGATAGTTGGTGACATGTGTCTGTTGATTGATTTTTTCCAGAAAATTTAAAGAGTTAGTTGTATGCAATGTTATGATGCATGCATCGCATAATAGTGTTCTCAAAATAAATAAGATTGTGCTATATGCATTTTGTATGCATATGTCATGATATGTGAATGTGTAATGTTATTGAAATGTATCTACGTCTGGGCAAATAAATCCCTGACAACTGCTGGGGAGATCTGGGAAGCTTAAATCCTAGACTAATGCTGAAGATGAAAACTATGTGTATCTTCAGCCTTTCTTAGAGTGCTTCCGCTAGGAATTCCTTTTTGTTTGTTTGAGGAAACTCTTGCAGGGAACGTTGGTTTCTGCTTGGGAAGTAGGGTTCATAAACTTTAGTTGTTCATTGCTCTACTAGGGAATTTGATTCTTATAAGCCTCTACTGGGGATAAAAGAGATGACTAAACATTCAACTTTTCTGGGGGTGGATGAAGCTATCTGTTATCTGGTTGGATTCCAGGTGAAACAACCGGCTGAAAATCATCAAACAATGAAGTCGCCATCGAACGTCTTTTATCCCACATGTAGGGAAAGGTAAACATCGAGAAAACCTGAGAAGGGAGAAGTCACGGTCTTGCGACCGAGAGATCGGGTAAGGGAGTCTGTTACGCGAGGGGAAGGTATTAGCACCCCACACGCCCGTAGTACTCTACGGTATCCACTCTTGTTATCTATCTTATGGGTGTGTTTAATCTATGGTTACTGTTTACTATACTTACTGAAGGGAATGCATGCAAAAGAAAGAGGAAAAGAATGTAGGGAAAATAAAATTGTGCTCGCTTGGGCCCTACCCCAATGCCTACGTATCTGTTTTGAGGAATCAGAGCTACCGTAGTTCGGCTCACATTTTTTGTTTGTTTTGTGTTTTTTATGGACGAAGTTAATTCCGCCTTCTGCCGCAGCTCGACCTTTGGAGGCTTATGCGTTGGCACAGAAGTAAATTAATCATGTCCTTACCTGAAAAGGTTTTAAAAGAAAAGGTGCTCGAGCGCACAAAAGATTTGATTTTGTTTTGTATTTTGTTATAGATGTTTTTTGTGGACGAAGTTAATTCCGCCTTCTGCCGCAGCTCGACCTTTAGAGACTTATGCGTTGGCACAGAAGTAAATTAATCGTGTCCTTATCTGAAAAGGGTTTCCTAGAGAAATGGTGCTCGAGCGCACAAAATGGTTTGAATTTGTTTTTTATTTTTGTTGTAGATGATGACTGATTGACCTCAAGAGAGAGATATTAGCCATTTTTCTACTTAGCCATGAAAGGAGTTTTTGAGAATCGAACCACACCTAAGCTTGAGATGAAGAACAATAAGATCGAGAAGAGACCCGCTTATCATTTCTCGTACTAAGCAAAAGCATGATTCTCATCAATAGTTTTAAAGTGTTTTGAATTTCGAAAAGAAAGAGAAAGTTTTAGTTTTAGGTGCGAATGCAAAAGGGAAAGAAAAGTTAAAGGGGAATTAACCTATTTCTAGACCTAATGTTATTGTGTATTGTTAGCCCTAAAGTTAGAATGAATGAGGGAATTCTACCTAATGTTAGCATGCATATGGATTGCGATAAAGTACGAAAATGAAGAATAAAATAGATTTGCGACAATACCGAACGGAGGAGGTCTGTTGCCTCTTCAAAATTGTGCAAGCGGTAAGAGAATTCTATTAAAGTTCCCTTGGGCAAGTAATTGAAGAATTAACCCCGAGTATTCCACATTGCAAGAGTTATGTCGATGCTATCACAAAAATCTTGACTAGAAAATGGCAATAAAAATGATTATCGAATATGAAAAATAGAAAAAATTCTAATCGAAATTCTAAAAAAGAAATTCTATTCTAAACAAATCTATTTTTTTTATTGTCAATTGAGAGTAAAAAAAAATTAAACTAAAAGAAAAAACTAAAATAATAAAAGAAAAGGAAAAAAATTTAGAAGAATAAAGGGGTGTGAGCTGAATTCATGGGGTGCTGTAGAAGTAATTTGCCCAAAAGATTTTCAACATTTTTATTTATTATTTTAATTATAATTGTTATTAATATGAAATAAGAAAATAAAAATAATAAAACAGTAAGACAAAAAGGAAAAAAACGTGGAAATTGGAAAGGGAATAAGTTTTTAGAAAGAAAGTCTCTTCTTCTCTCGCGAACGGAACAGCGCCGCTACCCCCCTCTTCCGTCATTGCCGCTTCAATCGGCCTTCATCTTCCGCTCCGGCGATCTCAGATTCCATCTCCTCCGTAAATGCCGTCACTTCGATTGCGCCTTCGCCGATTATATCCGATAGTTTTCTGTTTATTGATGAGGACGGTACCGGTGTAACCAGCTCCGGCGATTTCCGCCGCTCACCACCGTTAGAACGAAGATCGTTGGCCGCCGTCTTTCACGCGTTGCTCCGTCTCAGTTTTCACTTCAACATCACCTCACCGTCGCGGATCATTCCGATTCCATCTTCGCCGTAAGTCACGCCGCCACTTTACTCTTTTCGTTCTTCTCCGCGTTTGCTTCTTATGTTATCCATTTCTTTTCTTCGTCTACTTCTTGCTTCTGTGTGTGTTGTTGTTGTGTGTGTTAGAAGTGAGGTGCAGAGAGATGAAAATGGCGATGGAGAAGTTATTCTGGATGCAGATTGATGAACCAATGCAAGAAGGTTACAATAGCGGTTGTAGATGCAGGGAATATCGATGATACGTGTCTGGAGGGTCTCTGAGAAGATCTGTGTTGAATAGGAGATCAGATTATTCGTGCCACAAAACGATATGAGGTGGCCTGCCACAGTGTCTTGAGCTATGAAATAAACTGCTCTTGATTACAGCTTTCTTGGAGAGATTTGTCGAATCTCGACGTAACTGCCCCAGGTTGACTAAATTCTGAATAGATCTCTCGACGTGATAGCCTCTGATTGATCGAGCTTGAAGAGATTTATCGACGTGATAGCCTCTGACTGACAACTTGAAGAGATTAATCGACGTGATAACCTTTGATTGACGGCTTTGAGGGGATGCCCCAGATTTGGCTGATCTTGGAGAGATCGACTCTTGACTTGACGGTCCCAGATTGGCGGAATCTGCTAACTTCATCCCTGAAGGGTACTCAAGCTGTGAAGCACCAAGATGTTTTCTCTTGACAGAATCTCTGGTTTAACATGCCTCTGGATTAGTCATTTCTCTTGTAGCAGCTGACTCTTGCTTCAACAGGGTATTCAAGCCTCTCTTCTCTGACAAGATTGAGCTCTTTACCGGTTGTTCATTGTGTAAACTTAGTTGATGTCAATCAGTTGTTTTGTATGCACAAGAATGTTTATTATGAGAATGATAATTCTAATGCAAAACGTATGTAAGTCTTGAAGTTTGAAAAAACTTTGAATGAAATGACGTCGCAACTCCGTTGTGAACGAGTCACTAGTTAGAGAGAAACATTTGCAAGTTCCTTTTTTATGAAAGATAATGCAAGCATATGATGCCAAAACAGATATTGAGACGTACCTCTTAGGAGTCAGTTAAATGCTATCTCGTTGTAGCACGCTTTCGAATTGACCCATGCTTCAGTTAGGACTTTTATGGGTTGTAACGTGGCCTGGTTCACGGTTTTAGAAAAAGAATCTAAGGCTCAAAAATATTTGGTGCCCACCCATTCTCCATGATGTTCTCCATTCCTACGTCCAGTTGACCCGATAGAAGCATTCGTCTCTCGAGAAGAGTTTGTGATGGTTGAGGAACCACTGTGGTTTCTTGGACACGACAATTACTTCACCTTTTGCTTTTGGTGTCTGATCAGACGACTTTGTTCTTTAATGAGGATTTTCATTGGTAATCCTTTTCTCGCCTTTTAGGCTTTATTCAATTTCTTTCTTGCTTTCCCTAATTTTTGCCTGGACAAATTCTTTTGAATTTCGATTTGGAAGTCCAGCGGGATGCCCCAATTTTTGCCTAAGTGACTTGTTTTCAAGTTTCGACTTAGCGGGGTTTTTTGTTTCTTTCTTATTCGTATTTTTCATTTTGAACAAGTCGTTGATCTTTGCGTTGTCTTTGATTTGTTGGAAGTGATCGTGACTGCCTGAGTCTTTGATAGACAAGGGATAGTCATTGTTGTATTGTCATCTGTCGACCTCCTGATGTGCAAGAGATATCCATTGGGATATTGTTAATTGATGCACGTTGCTGATAGATGAAGGTTAACCATTGTGGTTTTGACTTCCCTCAACCTTTTGATGGATAACCATTGTTGTATCCCTGGATGCACACTCTTGATGAGTTCTGAATGCTTGATCAGATTAGCTGAACACTACCCGCCCCAGGGTTGAAATGAGGGTTTTTTCTGAATAGAAAGAAAACTCCTACTTCGAAGGCTCGGAGGGGTTAACGAGGGTCTACCTCCCTTATATCTCCAGTGTTTGGGGATTGAAACAAGGCCTGTACATCGTCAACAGGGTCCTACTCAAAAGCATACCAACCAGAGATTTTGCGTTTTCAGATTATTGTCATCCTCCTTTGAATCTCTACCTAAGCATAAGACTAGGAAATCTGGCATCAATATGCAAGTAAAACATTTAAAGAGTGATAACAAATGGATGAGTAAAAATGAAAGGAATACTTCAAGACAAGCATATTTATTGCATTAAGATTTTCGTTCAAAAATAGACAAGTTTCTATATACAAGTAATGTTTAAAAAAACAAGCAAGAATGCAAATGAAAATGCAGTCAAAGAAACCAATGATTGCCATTGTTGAGGAGACTTCACTCCATATGGACTTGCTGATTCTGACGACTTTCTGTAGTCTTGACGCTCGAGTGCGAGAGAATTCCCTTTCAGATCTGATGTGAGTATGACAGTCTCTGAATTGATTCAGTCTTGGACTTGGTCTCTGGATGACAAACCATCTTCAATCGATTGGCCAGGTGCCCCAGTATAACATGCATCACCAAGCATATCATGTCTTAAAGAAATAATAGACATCATCATCAGAGTTTCCATGACCTGGCTTATCTGACTCTTTAATCCATTATCTTCCTGCCTGAAGAAGTTTCTGACTATGAGCCAAAGCTTGCATGTACCACTCAGAGTTATTCCATCACTGATCTTCAAGCATGTGTGGAGAGAAATCAGGTTGAACCTTTGAAGGTAACCCCAGGTTTGAATAAGAATCCCCAATCTTCGGGTACCTGTAATGAATGCATGAATATACATGGAGTGTATGAATGAATGCCATGTCATGTTTTGTCATTTCCAAGGAATTTGCGTGCTTTGATTTTGTTTTTGCGCAAGTAAGGGATGGAAGAATTTTGGCACAAGACTTGCAAATATGATTCCTTGAAAATAACAGAACATGTATGTTAAGCATGCAGTTAGCCATGTTATGTATGCAAAGGCATGAGATCATAGAGGATCATGGTTCCATCATTCCTGAATAAGGTTGCTGCACTGCTCTGGATCATGTGAGTATCACCAGATCAGAGGTCCAACATAACTTCTGCATATATAAGAACCAAGTACCCTGTGGATCTCCCATTGTCTGGGATCAAGGCTTCTGGAACATTGGATACTGTTGAGAATTTTTGTACATGCTGGGAATACCAAGATTGAAGGATTGAATGAACCTCCAGATAAACAAGTCAGGATCTCAGAAAATAAATATGAGAACCACACGGTCACCGACAGGATACAGTATCTGCATAAAGTCTTAACAGAAATCCAGAATATAGCCATTAGAATCAGTAGTCACTGTCTGAGCAAAGTCACCATTTGTACCTGTATAACCATCTGAACATAGTCACCATCTGTACCTGTAACAAAAATTCCCTTCCCACTCACGGGTTAAAACTAGGTCAGGGTAAGATAATGGTAACTCAAAAATCATGGGCTCGCCTGAAAGTGCTATGGGCTTGCCCACAGACGTGGGTGCCGATAGTAATTCATTTGAACCTCATCCGAGCGTGGTATATGACATGACTGCACTAATCGGACCATGTCCTATAGCCGTCATGCCCCCACTCTATTCCTAGTGTCCTAGTGCACTCTGGCCTGGGTACTGGGCCTTTTACCTCGATAGTGACATCCCCACCCAACATAGAGAACAGAGTCCAGCATAATAGATAATAGATATGGAAACCATAAAATGCAATGCAAACATGTACAAATGAGTAAATTGAAAGCGTAAAATAAACACCCTAAGGAAAGAAAACAAGAGCTAGGAGCGACTCCGGGATGGACCAGCACTTGGTCGACCTATTCCCCAGTGAAGTCGCCAGCTGAAACAACCGGCTGAAAATCATCAAAGAATGAAGTCGCCATTGAACGTCTTTTATCCCACATGTAGGGAAAGGTAAACATCGAGAAAACCTGAGAAGGGAGAAGTCACGGTCTTGCGACCGAGAGATCGGGTAAGTGAGTCTGTTACGCGAGGGGAAGGTATTAGCACCCCACACGCCCGTAGTACTCTACGGTATCCACTCTTGTTATCTATCTTATGGGTGTGTTTAATCTATGCTTACTGTTTACTATACTTACTGAATGGAATGCATGCAAAAGAAAGAGGAAAAGAATGTAGGGAAAATAAAATTGTGCTCGCTTGGGCCCTACCCCAATGCCTACGTATCCGTTTTGAGGAATCAGAGCTACCGTAGTTCGACTCACATTTTTTGTTTGTTTTGTGTTTTTTATGGACGAAGTTAATTCCGCCTTCTGTCGCAGCTCGACCTTTGGAGGCTTATGCGTTGGCTCAGAAGTAAATTAATCATGTCCTTACCTGAAAAGATTTTAAAAGAAAAGGTGCTCGAGCGCACAAAAGATTTGATTTTGTTTTGTATTTTGTTATAGATGTTTTTTGTGGACGAAGTTAATTCCGCCTTCTGCCGCAACTCGACCTTTAGAGACTTATGCGTTGGCACATAAGTAAATTAATCGTGTCCTTATCTGAAAAGGGTTTCCTAGAGAAATGGTGCTCGAGCGCACAAAATGGTTTGAATTTGTTTTTTTATTTTTGTTGTAGATGATGACTGATTGACCTCAAGAGAGAGATATTAGCCATTTTTCTACTTAGCCATGAAAGGAGTTTTTGAGAATCGAACCACACCTAAGCTTGAGATGAAGAACAATAAGATCGAGAAGAGACCCGCTTATCATTTCTCGTACTAAGCAAAAGCATGATTCTCATCAATAGTTTTAAAGTGTTTTGAATTTCGAAAAGAAAGAGAAAGTTTTAGTTTTAGGTGTGAATGCAAAAGGGAAAGAAAAGTTAAAGGGGAATTAACCTATTTCTAGACCTAATGTTATTGTGTATTGTTAGCCCTAAAGTTAGAATGAATGAGGGAATTCTACCTAATGTTAGCATGCATATGGATTGCGATAAAGTACGAAAATGAAGAATAAAATAGATTTGCGACAATACCGAACGGAGGAGGTCCGTTGCCTCTTCAAAATTGTGCAAGCGGTAAGAGAATTCTATCAAAGTTCCCTTGGGCAAGTAATTGAAGAATTAACCCCGAGTATTCCACATTGCAAGAGTTATGTCGATGCTATCACAAAAATCTTGACTAGAAAATGGCAATAAAAATGATTATCGAATATGAAAAATAGAAAAAATTCTAATCGAAATTCTAAAAAAGACATTCTATTCTAAACAAATCTATTTTTTTTCTTGTCAATTAAGAGGAAAAAAAAATTAAACTAAAAGAAAAAACTAAAATAATAAAAGAAAAGGAAAAAAATTTAGAAGAATAAAGGGGTGTGAGCTGAATTCATGGGGTGCTGTAGAAGTAATTTGCCAAAAAGATTTTCAACATTTTTATTTATTATTTTAATTATAATTGTTATTAATATGAAATAAGAAAATAAAAATAATAAAACAGTAAGACAAAAAGGAAAAAAACGTGGAAATTGGAAAGGGAATAGGTTTTTAGAAAGAAAGTCTCTTCTTCTCTCGCAAACGGAACAGCGCCGCTACCCCCCTCTTCCGTCATCGCCGCTTCAATCGGCCTTCATCTTCCGCTCCAGCGATCTCCGATTCCATCTCCTCCGTAAATGCCGTCACTTCGATTGCGCCTTCGCCGATTATATCCGATAGTTTTCCGTTTTTTGATGAGGACGGTACCAGTGTAACCAGCTCCGGCGATTTCCGCCGCTCACCACCGTTAGAACGAAGACCGTTGGCCGACGTCTTTCACGCGTTGCTCCGTCTTAGTTTTCACTTCAACATCACCTCACCGTCGCGGATCATTCCGATTCCATCTTCGCCGTAAGTCACGCGGCCACTTTACTCTTTTCGTTCTTCTCCGCGTTTGCTTCTTATGTTATCCATTTCTTTTCTTCGTCTACTTCTTGCTTCTGTATGTGTTGTTGTTGTGTGTGTTAGAAGTGAGGTGCAGAGAGATGAAAATGGCGATGGAGAAGTTGTTCTGGATGCAGATTGATGAACCAATGCAAGAAGGTTACAATAGCGGTTGTAGATGCAGGGAATATCGATGATACGTGTTAAAGAACAAGAAAATGAGTGAAGCTATAAGAAGAAGATGCGATTGTTACAGGTTGATGAAACTGTTAAGAGTAGAAGATGATTGAAGGTGTGGATTGTTGGAGATGATTGCGAAATATGCAGAGGAGTTCAGAGAGAGTTATGATATGTTTTGTTGAGTTTGTGAATTCTGAATCGCGGATCTGCAGAGAGAAGATTGAGAAGTTTCTTTTTGATATTTTTGTGGTGATTCTTCTAACCGATGAAGAATGATTGTAAAGGTGAGTTTTTTGTAGTTCTTCTCTAACTTTCTATGAATAATGGTATCCCTGTGAATAATCTTTCCCTATTCTATTTGTGACCTCTCCTCTTCATATGCTGTGAACTCTATTTATATATGCTGGAAGTTTGTTATGGTTGGTTAAGAGGTTAGAAATTCTGTTAGGTGGTTAGGAGGTGGGAAAAAAGTTGGTTATTCTGTTAATTGGTTAGGACTTAGAGAGGTTGTTATAAAATGGTTAAGAGGTGGGAAAAAGGAAAGTTGGTTACAGTTTGGGAAATAGAAAGTTAGTTATAGTTAGAAGTTAGGAAAAAGTTAGTTTCAAGCACATAATACTTGGTGTAATTGTTGATTTTTGTATTTCAAATTAAATTAATTTGATTACGTATTGGTGCTGAACCGGCTTGAAAAATGGTTGTTTATGCAGGTTTTCTTTTGGTATGAAACATGGACCGAGGCTTGGACATAACCAGGTTGGAATGGGGAAATCTTGGAAGATAGTGGTTTGAAGATAAATAACTTTAGAAATGAGGGAAACCTTGATTTATAATTCTTTAGCTTTAGGCTACTTGAATATTTAATGTAAATTCTTGTTTTTTTGATTTAGTAATTTTGGATGTAAACGCTTTTTTGAAATCTTCTCTTGTAATGTTCTAATGATACCGCTTGTAAATTGCATGGTTATGACCTCGAATGAACGAGAATGATTTTGGATAACCCTTTGACAAATCACAAGTAATGCTTTAGAACTTGTAAAGATTATATCATTGTATGAATGTGAACTCTTGAACTTTAATGATGGAGCCCAAATATTCCAAGTAGTCTTCTCTTCCGAATTGCCTTCTGTATCTCCAAGATTTTTTTTTAATTTTATGTTGCATATAACTCCATGGTTGCGATATGAATTTAATAAGAGCCTTTTCCAAGGACGAACTTGTAATGTCGAGTTTCTTTGCTTTTGAATGAAGACATGCCTAAACACCCTCAAATGAACGAGCCTTGCATCTTTCTTACTCCTCACTTCAAAACCATAATTGAAGAAGCTTAAGATTTTGATTTTAATGTATTTTGAAATGAAGTCCCCAAAGCATATTATATCACAAGTAAGCGAATAGACCCGACAAAGAGCTTTGCCTCATAAAGTGTACAAATTCCAATTTGGCAAATAGTATCCCGTTGAATCTTCTTCTCTTGCCTAGAGCTCGTGAACATATGCCTTGAGGTTCAAGGAATAGCTAAACCTCATTTGATGAAGAAAGGACCATTTGAAATATTAACTCGTAAAAGGTACGATTTTCTTATATGATAACCTTTTTGTATGATATATTGAAGCATCCTTGAACAAGATCTTAATGGCCATGGATATATCAAAATCTTCAACCATGATTATGGAAATAAATCATCATTCATGTGGAGGTGATAAGTATAAGACGATGTTCCTCACTGCTTAAGCTTGCAGCCTTTCGAGATAGCCTTGGGATGACTCACAATTGAAGCGGCAAGTATTTGACGAGAACCAAAAATTGTATCACTAAAAGAAGTCCACAGTGTTAGAGAAAAAGCCACACACCAACCCTTATTCCTCAAAATCCATGATTTTATGCCAATTTATTGATTAATGATGCGTGATGTGTTAGATGACCTAATGTGAGAAAAAATGCAAAAATGCGTAAGCCAGATAGGAAGTAGAAGGGTAGGACAAATTTGGGGTATTACACCAGGCTTCGCAGCAACTTTCTGGAGATAGTATCAACTCCGTTGGGGAAAATGAATTTAGTTAGTTGATCTGTAGTAGTTTGAGGAATAAATTCAAACTAGGGAGATTGTCATCCGTCGGGGAAATAAACCTTGTTGAGGAAGGTATTATGGTGACCTCACTGGGGAAATGAATTATTTTGGTTTAGAACTTTTTGCAAGGTTTCTTTTCAGTTTTGGAAGTCCAAACTTGGTTGGGGAATGGAGTTTCCAAGGAATATGTCGATTGGTACTCTGGAGAATGTATGACTTCACTCTGTGGGGATAATCTCAATGAAGTAATTTTGTGGGGATATCCTATATCCTTGAGTAAATGCTTGTGCGTACATTTATTAACATTTAATTATGTTCATATGCATATGTTCATTCAATTTGAGTCATTGGACATTTTTGCACTCAAAACAGAAAAATAAAAAGTTTGTACTTCAAAATATATTTGTATTGATAATTTGCCTAAAAATAGGCGTATTTATACAGAGAGAAAGAAATCCTAGTAAGAGGAAGTCGCCAAAAAATGAAAAGAATACAAAGCGAAAACAAAATGTATAGCCATGTGGAATTGATCTCACTGGGTTCCAACTCCACTATTTCCCCTATGTCTTCGAACATGATTTCTTGCCATCGAAAGAAGTTGATTGGATTTATCTCATACCATTTTAACTTTTGACCTTGGTAATAGAGCTGACTGTTAGTGATCCGACAGGACATAGTCGTACAAATTAATCCTTAACTTTTTCCTGGGCTGCCCTTTCGGGTTTTTAGTCCACCGGATACCCATTTTTGCCCAAGCCGCCCTTTCAGGTTTTCGACTTGCCGGGTGTACAATCTTTTGTAAGTATCCCTAAATTTTGCCCAAACCTTTTGGTTCACCGAGATGCCCTTATTTTGGCCTAGGTATGGCAACCTAGCGGGTCATTATTTATACGTAGTATTTTTTGACTATGTCCACGTTCACAGGATGCGGGAAATCTTTGCCGTCCATAGTAGTTAGCATTATAGCACCACCAGAGAATACTTTTTTGACAATAAATGGCCCTTCGTAAGTGGGAGTCCATTTTCCTCTGGGGTCTCCTTGTGGTAAAATGATGCGCTTTATTACCAAGTCGCCATCCTGGTATACTCGAGGTTTGATCTTTTTGTTGAATGCCTTGACCATACGCTTTTGATACATTTGACCATGACAGATAGCAACCAGCCTCTTTTCATCAATCAAGTTCAACTTATCCAATCTTGTCTGAATCCATTCATCTTCACCTAAGCCCGCTTATTTCATAATCCTTAGAGAAGGAATCTGAACTTCGACGGGCAGGACATCTTCCATGCCATAGACTAAAGAGAAAGGGATTTCCCCAATTGATGTTCGAGTCGAAGTACGGTATCCATGAAGAGCAAATGGTAGCATCTCATGCTAGTCTTTATAGGTCACCACCATATTTTGTATAATCTTCTTTATATTTTTGTTGGCGGCTTCCACTGCGCCATTTATTTTAGGTCTGTATGGAGAAGAATTTTGATGCTTAATTTTGAACTGCGTGCAGAGTTAAATGATCATGGCATTATGGAGATTGGTTCCGTTGTTAGTGATAATCCTTTCAGGGATGTCGTACCGACAGATGAGGTTATGCTTGATAAACTTGGCTAAAACATTCTTAGTGACTGAGACAAATGAAGTCGCTTCTACCCATTTGGTGAAGTAATCAATGGCGACGAGGATGAACCGATGTCCATTAGAGGCAGTGGGCTTGATCACTCCAATCGTGTCAATGCCCCACATTAAAAACGGCCATAGAGCAATCATGACATTCAAAGGAATTGGAGGCACGTGAATCTTGTCAGCATAGATTTGACACTTATGGCAAGTCCACGAGTGATGGTGAAAATCAGTTTCCATAGTCGACCAATAGTAACCAGCCCTCAAAATATTCTTGACCATAGTGTGACCACTAGAGTGAGTTCCAAAGATAACTTCATGCATGTCTTCCATGATCTCTTTTGCTTTCTTCTTGTCCATACAACAGAGCAGAGTAGAATCATGGTTGCACTTGTATAGGATCCCATTGCTTATGAAAAATTTGTCTGAGAACCTTCGCAGGAATTTTTTATCGTTGATTGGAGCTCCTTCAGGATATTCTTGTGCTTCAAGGTACCTCTTCACTTCATGATACCAAGACTTTTCCTCATCAGTGTCGATCTCATAACAGTGCGCAGGTTCATCAAATCTTTCGATAGTAATTCTGAGGGCTTCGTTGTCCCAATTGACCTTGAACATAAACGATATGGTTGCTAAAGCATCTTCCAACTGATTTTATTCCCTTAGAAAGTGTTCAAAAGTGACTTCCTCAAAGCATGGGATAAAGGTTAGCACAAGCTCTTTGTAGGGGATTAGATTTGGATGTTTGGTATCCCATTCTCCTTTAACTTGACTAATTACTAATGTCGAATCTCCGTACACGCTTAAGAATTTGATTCTTAGGTCAATAGAAGCCTTAAGACCCAAGATGCACGTTTCATACTCGACCATGTTGTTTGTACAGTTTAAGCATAGTCTGGCAGTGAAAGGTGTATGACAGCCTTTGAGAGAAATGATCATAGCACCAATTCCATTACCCAACGCGTTGGAAGCTCTATCAAAAACCATAGTACAACGGATCCTTGTTCAGGTCCGTTATACGGTCCAGGATTTTCACAATAAGTTATTAGCATGATATTCTCTTCCGAGAATTCAAAGTTCATGGATTGGTAGTCATCAACAGCTTGATGAGCCAAATGATCCGCTAGCACACTTCCTTTGATGGCCTTTTGTGTAGTATATTAAATATCATATTCAGTTAAGATCATTTTCCATCTAGCTATTCGTCCGGAGAGAGATGGCTTCTCGAAGATATATTTGATGGGATCCATCTTAGAAATCAATAAGGTAGTAT